AGGTGGCGAATTGTTGAAGGAGACGCCACGTAGAAAGTGTGGTCGAATTGTAGCTCGGTGGCGTCAAAGGATGTGGCGATACGTCGCCAGAATTTCCGTCGCCCTTGTCGTCAAAGTCGTCGTGCTGGACAATGGGGCCGTGCAGCTGGGTAGGAATGATAACCCCGTCCTTATCGAGGTCACGATTTTCATGTAGTCCGAAATGTGAGTTCTGCCTGTGAAATGGGTCCAGAGACGGGGAAGAAGTATCGCAATTTTGGGGAGGATTTAATTCTGGAAATATATTTCAAAAAATTTAATAATTAAAATTTGTAAAATCTGGAAGCAATTTCATGTTTAAAATGGAGGTGAGGCGTATAATTCTGGAAATTAATTAAAAGCTGAATAACATACTAATTACAATTTGTAAAATGTGGAAAGTAATTAATGCAAACGAGATGTTAACTTTTGTAGCAAAATTACGAAATAATTGTTAAATACAATTTGAATTGTTAAATACAATTTGAAAGTGGTTATATTTAATTGAACATTTAGGTTTTTTTCTGGGGATTAAAAAATACCGAAAAATTCTCGATATCTTAAAATTATTGAATTACTCCGGCTCCGTTAAAGTGTTTTAAAGAGTTCTACAATTTGAATACAGATAACTCCTCAGGGTCAGTTGAATTATGCAATTTTTTTAATGAAATAAAATCCCAAAATTTAGAAATAAATAAATAAATAAGTCCCGATCTCCTCAGATTATCTTATATTATCTTATTTTACCTTATCTTATTGAATAAGTTCGGCTACATTTAAGTGTTTTAAAGACTTTAACCTCGAACTCCGATAGTTTTTCTGGAAAGCTCAATTATGGAATTTTTTGAATACTATAAATTCCCAAAATTTATAAGAAAAATAAATAAATGCTAAATTGCAAATCTTACAATAATATTGTACAAAATAATTTTGAAATGAGGTATAAAATAATAATTTTCTTTAATACGTTCCATTTACTTTGCTAGTTTCTGAAACCATGCTGAAACAAATAAAAATTTGATTTTGCATATCCCCCCTTCGATTCGGGAAGGTTAAAAAGTGCAATAAATAAATAAGTCAGATTCCTCACATTATTGAATAGATTTGGCTCCGTTTAAATATTTTAAAAGAGTTTTACCTGAATTCACTTTAAAATAGATAATGTCACCAAGTAAGCACAATGATGTAATTTTTTGAATAAAATAAAATCATAAAATAAATAAATGCAAAATTATAAATCTTGAAATGATATTGTACAATATGAATTTAGGACGAGTTATAACGAGATAATTTTTCTAATAGGTTGAGGCAATTCACACATTCATTTGTAACTCGTAACATTTCAGTACGTTTTGCAAAATAATTTTACAAACTTACAATGCAAGTCTTTTACGTGTACAACTCAGATCTGGTTGGGACCAATTTTATTTTGTTTACCACAAAAAATAAGCATACCCGTATTTTTTCATTTTTCATAATGCGCTAATTTGAGCGCGGGGCGCGAATTTTAAAACATTTTTCAGCCAAAACCTCGGTTTTTTAAAATTCTGTAACTTTTCCAATTTTAGCCCGAATCCAAAAATTCGAAAACATGTCTCTTCAGAATGACTTACCTGACTTATGAAAAATCCCATTGTCTCGAAATTTGATTTTCAAAATTTTTTGCCAGTTTTTGAAATTCATTAAAATTATAAACTCTTTCAAATTTTCAAATTTTCAAAAAATTATGCATGTAGATTTTTCATTGGTCATTTGTAACTCGGAAAATCCATGCGTTTTGTAAAATAATTTTTACAAACTTTTACAAAATAAAGAGACACCAGTGATCTGAGCAAGTTTACAAAAAATATGTGTAAGATTAAGCTTGTAAGTTTACGGATTTTACAATGTTACCAAGGACTGAGTGAATTGGGTCAGTTTGTTTTTGGCATAGGTTGCATCCCGTTAATAAACTTTTGAGGGGCTCCAGTATTTAAGGTGGTACGTAGGTGAATTATAGACATTTGAAAATATCTCAATGGCAAAAAAATTAGCAGAAAATAATTCCTAAAAATGTACCAATAATTTTATGATGAGAAGGACTAATTTTGCTTAGAAATAGTTGCAAAAATTTGCAAGTTTACAGAATTTATGGAATTACAAAGTTCAGTAACTGCCTGAATTGGCTTAGTGTATTTTTTGTATAGTTTGTAAACCGTGAATAAATTTTTACTCCGCTATAAAAGGTGACCACGAGGTGAAATATTTCCGTGAAGAATGTTTTGAATTTGATATGTAGATCCCAATTTTAAAAATCTAGCATAAAATATTTCCCAAAAGTACCAATATTTTCATGACGAGACCGACCAGTGGGAGGAGGAGGGGAGTAGTAATTGGTCCAAATTAGGGAAGAAGTTTCCAGCATGACTTTCTCCCCGGGACGACTTTCTCCAACCTTCTTGACCCCGGGGACGAACAGTTTTCTTAATTTTGGCGTCTCCTCGGCGTCAATTTTTATCTGCGCGTCTTCTTGTTCCGCGGATTCGTACAATTTCGCGAAAAATTCGCGCGGACTTGACGGGACTTTTTTGACAAGGGTGGAAAGTTTATTAGATGAGTTTGTTTCCATTTCCGGTTTGGGTTGAGTGTTCATCATGTTACGACGGGAGAGAAAGTCAAGTCGCATTATCAGAAGAGTAGAATTTGAAGTTGAGGCAAGGTGAGACTATGCAGGAAGAGAATTGTTCAGTATGGGTAATTTGAGACTGTTTAGTTTTCACGGTCAGTTTTTAGTGGAAACAAATTGAGATGCAATGACGTTTGAAGTTGAGGCAAGTTGAGACAATGCAACCGCAATAGAATTATTTGGCGAGGGGAACCTGATGCACAATTTTATTAATTCGCACAGTTATAAATTCACAGTTTTTTTAAATAGAAACTTTTTTGATAAATTGATATATAAAATTATCTATTAAACAAAATTCTGAATTTAAAGCTGAGGCAAATTGAGATGTAAATAAAGAGTTGCGACGACGGTTTGACAGTGAGGCAAGTTGAGACAACGCAAATGCAACTGTTCGACTGGGGTAACTTGAAAACACAGTTTATTTCTCACCGTCACAAATTCACAGTTTTTAAATTGAAATTTTGTTAATAAATAGAGACACAAAATTTGCTCTAAAATGAAATTCTGAATCTAATGTCGAGTAAAATTGAGACGTATGTAAATAGCAACACAAAAATTTTGAATAAAGTTCTATCCAACCTATTCCAGAAGTTGAGGCGAATTGAGACCCCTTAAACTAAACCACACTTACAAACTTGAGACAATCTCACTTTCCCGTGCTGACACCGTCAACCATCACTCCACTTCGAACCAAAAGTATGAATGAACTGCTTGTCAGAAAAGTGGGAACTTCCAGTTCGGAAACAATAACAGAGAGACATAGACATGCAACCAAACCACACACCTCATCATTGGTCGACTCATCCTCTCCTTTGTGTACATGCACATGTATGTATCATCATAAATAATAATACCTTTGCCAAGTTTACATAGACAGAAATGTATCGAGGAAGATGAGACACCCTTGCAGTTTTTCTCTCCCAACTTGATTCAATCCCACCACAAATATTAGGAAATTTTTGTGTGCTAAGGATGAGCAATGAATCATCATAAGTTTTCGGGTAAAATGCATATGTACATCCGGACATATCGTCGTCACCCTCACAAAATTTTAGCTCTGTGTTTCTGAGCCGAATAGACGTTTAGTAGATTGGATGCATGATTGGATTCTTGAAAATGATGATGATAACAATGTATGTATTTATAAATGATGTCCGGATTTTATTTGTGTGAAGGGTGCTTATTATTAGTTGTGTATGTATTGGTGTGAGATGGTTCTATGTAGTATGATGGGGAAAATACCCGGGTGTTGTATAAGTAAATCGGGTAGTATATATCTCCTTACAAAGTGAATAAGCGGATTTGGGTATTTATTCTGCTTCGATTTCTATTCATTTCTGAATAATTCCGACTTTTCTGAGGTAATTCTACTTTGTTATTTATTGGCGGCGATGATGATGATATCGTGATAATGATAAGATTAAAGCTTAGACATTGGTTGATAAGTCTAGATTTTTTATAGACATTTTTGTAAATAGATTATTTAATTTGTCCGTATTTTGTTGATATTATAAACTACACTCTTAGAAATCCGGTATTAAAATAATACGAAGCGGTATTCATATACATACATAAATGACTCTACCACAGTTGTATTGATAAGTAATACCGTCTAGTCATAGCTGGGTATTAAAGTTTTATCATTTCGGTAGCAAATTTTTACCGAGCGGTAGCAACTTTACCCCCGAGAAATCAATACCTGCCTGACGATAACAGATTTCTAACAATATAGATATTTGTATGTATTTTTTGCTATTTAGATTAATTGGATAGTAAATTGTGTCAAATTAAATAATCTTGTTTGCTACAATTCATTCCCGAAATATTGGGGAAAATTAGTAGAAGAAAAACATGTGTGCATAAAAAATTGCAAAAATACTTTCAAAATGTACTAAAAATGATAATTTAAGTATGACAATTAATTTTATTGAATGTGAGATTACAACGCCAAATTTGAATTTATTTCAGAAATACACAGCACAATAAATTAAAAATAGATAAAATTAACGTACATTTTGCTTTGGATTGGAATTTAATGATAATTAATATAATTGTGCAGTTAAAACTTAATTTGATCGTATAATTGTTGTTATCAATTCTAAGATAAGGTATCAAGATAACTCAATACAGCTTTTGCAGATATTCATCATCACGATTAAACTTTTTTTAAAGAAATTTTCTTCCTAAATTTTGTTGCTACGCTATACTCCAAGATTCTGTCAGGATTTTCCACCCAGAAATAAATTACAAACAATTTATTTGTTGAAATAAATAGTTATCTTATATCGCTTATCTTCTCCTCTCCTCTCGTCTCATGATGTCGAAATCGGGCAGAAAACCTGGCATGGATAAGGATAACCCGGACAAGAGGAAGTTCGGGTCAGTCAAAACTTTTGGTGGTGGTGGAGGAAATCAGCTTGACACGGATAAGCAACGGGGCTTATCATCCATCCTCATGGTGCGCGGAAACTCAGCCCGACCTCGAGAAGGAGATGATGTCCCCTTAAAAACTGTGGTATTTTAGGATTCAAATTCAGATAAGGTCAAGATAACCATTAATAATAAATAACTTCCCAGATCTCTAAAACCGACCACCTCGCCCGAATCTCGAGCTGGGAAGCCGCCATCCAGGACAACTTGGATTCCGTGGATTTCGAAACAGCCACCTCCGCCCTCGTCGACGAAGCGGTACGAACCCTGTCCAATTGGGAGAACGAGGTCGGGTCCATTCGGCACTTGGAGGTGAATTAAATCTACAATTTACAGTGTTTAGATTATGTGCAAGAGTAACCACTTGCAATAAATAACTGCAAGAAAGTGTAGCCCGCAAGGAACGAAACATTGAAAATTTTGTCTAAAAGCATTGAATTTTGAAAAATTCTGGATAAATATGACACAAAATTGGAAAACTTGTCGAAATTTTTGACACATTTTCTGCAGTGTTTCAGGTGCAAGTAATGACTTGCAAGAAATAGCGGAAAGAAAGTGGTTTTTCGCAGCTATTTTGACCTGCAAGAAATGCAAGGCGCAAGAAACAACGCCGCGCCGCGCATAGTTCATTTGCACTTTCTCCCAGTTTCTTGCACCTCGTTTTTCTTACGTGGCTTGCTTTGCACTGCAAAAAATGCGATGTACCAAACCCCGCAAGATACGAAACACGTATAATTTCATAAATTTTCGTCATAATTTTTTATCATCATAATTTTTTCGATAGACGGAGCAACCCTCACCCTCGACGAAGGAAGTCTCGTCGCAGCATGTCGACGAGAAAATTTCGCCCTCCGCGAGACTCAATCTTGTCGCGGATTTGAAAAAGATTAAGAAATTTATCGACCCAGAGGATCACATTACTCCTCGAATCATGATTTCCGGTATTAAATATTTTTTTAAAAATTTCCAAAAAATACCACCTACTTTTTCCAGAATTTAAATTATGATTTCTATTCGATTACAAATTTTTGTGGGTACCGTTTTTTTTTTAAATTTCCAAACATTACCAACAACTTTCCAGAATTTGAACGGTATATTTCCTCCAAGAATCAGTTCAGGAAATGACTCCACAAATGTTTTAAAATTTCCAATAATAGCAATAACTTTTTCAGAATTTGAATAATGGTTTCCAGTCGATTAAAATTTTTTTATATCCACCATTTTTTTCAAAATTAAAAAAATACCATCAACTTTTTCCAGAATTTGAACGCTACATTTCCTCCAAGAATCAAATCCCTGTCCAGGAAACGACTCCACAATCACCGACAACGCCACGACGTGTCCAATTCGACACGCCGCCCAACGAGGAAACCGGAGTCGTTTACTACCCGCGTCGTCCGACCGGGGTCGTTGTGGCGAAACCAGGGCCGACGCCGAGAGGGCGGCAAGATGTAGATTTGCGCCTTCAACGACCCGGCGCGTTGACGACTTATCGCGCAGAAAATGATAAGGCGACGCCAAGTGGGAGGGAGGAAGAGGGCGGTGGTGGTGGGGCCAAAATGCCCGGACCGAATACGGACTGGTGGAGGAGGAAGATTCGCCAAGGAATGATGCAGACGGAGATGCTGATGAGCGAGCTGGTTCGACAGAGGAGGGCGGATGAGAAGTATTATCATGGAATTAATCCGTACATCTATGTAAGCACGGTCGATAAGATAAGATAAGCGACGTAATTGAAAAACTAGTTCTAATTGATACAGTTAAAATTCAATTTCCAAAGTTTTGTGAAAATTTTGAGTCTCCGTCCATGATTTTCCATGATTTTTTCATTTTTTCAATACTGATTTTGAAATTTTGCTAGATTAAAAGATAATTTTTGGATAAGTGACGGTTGGATTTGATAAACTTAAATTTAAGCCAGAAAAGGTTCAAGGTTTGCCAAAGTTTTTAAAATCCTGACCCATTTTCTCAGGAATTAATCCCATTTTCATGCTTGATTTTGGAATTTGGACATATTTTTTCTATTAAAAACAAAATTTTCGATTAAGCGACAGGTAGATTTGATAAATTCCTAATTTAATTCCCAAAATAGTTTGAATTTTGTGAACATTGTAAAAATCCTGCCCCATTTTTTCACGATTTCATCCCATTTTCATACCTAATTTTGCAATTTTCATAACGTTTTCCACAATTTTTATCCCATAAACTTCCAGAATTTTGATCCATCCCTATTCTCCCCATATTTTCAGGGTCTCGAAATGTACCACCCTCAAGAACACGGCCCACCTTCATCCCGCCATCGCCATCCACCCGCCGTGCTCGCGGTCCAATCCCGTCTCCGCGCCTCGCTCCAAGAATCTCGTCGTCGTCACGAAGAATGTTTCGGATCGTGTCCAACATCAAGGACGAAAACTGTTCCGCAACAAGAGGAAGCCCCCGCTAAGAAGTTTCCTGCCGAGAAAAAACACCTCGTCAACACCGCGTCCGGTCGAGATGACCATGACGACGACGAAAGTATCACGTCCGCCGCGGAATTGAAGGTCAGATCTGTCTCGCGTCCGGTCAAAAATCCAAAAAGTGTCACAACTGGAGGAAGGAATTCTGATGTCAAAGTCATTTTTGAACGGAATTTTCGTACTGGTGGTGAAGATAACCGTCACCCCGACGTGCTGATAACCCGGGATGATAACCCGCCCCCACAAAAGAGCAGAGTTGCCACGAAGGCGCCAACGGAGACGGCAGTGGTGACGAAAAATGTGTCGCTGTACAAACCTAAACAGGTCGTTGTGGTGGATGCGGTGAAGGCTAAGGCGCAAACGGCGACGCAAAAGGGTATAGATATATGATAAGACGTTATCTTCAAGTTACTTTATTATGATAAGCAGAAGGCGGATATGTATTTGCGAAAAATTGCTGAAATATATTTATGAAATATGTATGTATGAAAAAGAATATAAAAATAAGGTCGAAAAATTCGTATTCCCGAATTGAATGCTGTAGATTTTTTTGGGGTCCAAGTTCTTTAAAAATTTTCGTCTCACATCGTGGAAATAGTTATAAAATTTACGTACTTTTCATAAAATTTCTAAGAAAATTACGTATCTTTTAAACGGTAGCAGGAATATTGATATTTCTGAAAACCTGGAAATATGTTCCAATATGTAAAATATTTGGAAATTTTTGTGATCTATGCGAGTTAGGGAACACGCCTACAAAATTTGACATTTGGTCGTCTTCAAACAAATGAAAAACTCGAAAATAAGTACATACCCACCCTCTGATGATAAGTGATTATCTTATCTTGCATTATATGCAGGTCACTCATCCATCAATCCGGAATGGGTCGAACGTTTGATTCAAGCGCAGAAAAAGCATCAGAACAAAGATCTCGTCGCGACCAAGAAACGCATCGAAACCGAACGGATCGCCACGAACGAGCTGTACTACGAGTTGAGGAGGAACAAGTCCCGGCTGGAAAACGAGGTTTCAAAATTTCGACTGTCATATTACTCGTTGACTTATCACCAAAATCGTCAAAATTACCACATTTTTATCATTTCTCGGCTCTGGGAATTTATTTTAAAATTTTGGACGACAAATTTCTGGTCGGTGAGTTAATTACGCCGGTTTTTTGAGCCAGTTTTTGTTAAAATATGCATGTTAACAAAGTTTTCCATATTTATCAATTTTTAAGTTTGTCGACTTTTATGAGGGCTGAGCATTTTCCAACCTTTTTCCCAGGACAAGGGATTAAAGGGTCCTTTTGTTTTTATGCCTCATTAGAAGGGACACTTCGTTTGAGCATAACTCTGCGTAGTTTGTATGGTCACTTCTGACCACATATTATTACATATGTATGAATGTCTCCTATGTACTGTCAAAACCTTAAAACCAAGTTGTTTAATAAAAATCACAATCAGTCTAAAAATATCTTCCAGCGAGATCATTTTTACTTTCAGTTTTGACTCGTTCCAATTTTTCTGAAGGCTTCTTAAACTTGAGATCTCCTCCTTCATAAAGTGTCAATATCTGGAGTGTATACATATTTTCAAAAAACTGGCAATTCCCTGCTCTACAAATTTGTCGGCCAGAATTTTAAAATAAGTTCTCACAGCGGAGAAATGGTTGAAAAATGCGTATTTTGACCATTTTGGCTGTGGGGCATCGAATCTTATGCTAAAATGTCAAATTTTTACATTTAAAATTTCCGAAATTTAGGTCAACATGGAAAAACGAAGGATGGCTCTCAACTGGAAACTTCTCAATCAGAAGAAAGCCCACGAATCTGACTCGTCCGATGAAGATATTCACCGTAAAAGTCGTCACTCGTCGAAATCTCGCGCCAAGAAGTATCCCACGTCACGACCGGCGACGTCGACCTATTCTCCAAAATTGTACTACCCTGATAACCACCAAGATAAGCATGACCACCATGACCACCACCACCACTCCGAGCATAAGAAAAAGACGCCCAAACCCGCATTTCCTCGGTGGAAAGAGACCCCCAAAGGTCTCTCCGACTGGTTGGAGGACGTCGTCGCCAAAGCGAAAGAACACAAGGACAAGGAACATAACGTTTCAGAGGAAAAAGAACAATATAAACCTATGAAACGGAGAGGGGATCATACCGGGTGGGCCCCGTTGGCGAAAAGTATGCAATTTTAAAAAGATTAAGTTCGAAATTTTGAAATACAATTTGTAGAAACAGTTTCGAAATACTACAAATTTTGTACGAAAAAAATAGGAAGAAATAAATATCACTTAAATAATAAATAAAGAAAATTTAACAAAGGAAACTTCAAAATTCGTCATTTTTCAAATTTTAGGCGATCAAAATGAACTATTTTTTTGAAAATTTAATTTTGTACGAAAAATAATAGCAAAAAATAAGTAACATTTAATAAATTAGGAAATTTTAGCATAGTAAAGTTCAAAATTGGACAATATTTCGTAACTTTTCAAATTTTGGGTGATCAAAATCAACGATTTTTTTTGAAAATTTAATCAAAAACAAGATGGTTTTTATTAGTCTGAAAATTCTAATCCTACAAAAACTTTATACACAATAACGTCAAGATTATGCAATACATAAGACAAAATCTGACATCTTGGCGACAAATTCGACACGATATATATAACACAATTCCTACTTCTTCTTCCTCTTCTTATCCTCAATAAATCCCAGCATGGGATCCTCTTCTCGACTCCGTGTGAGCAGAAATGCCTCCATTTCCATCTCCGTGGGTGCCTTGGCGTCATACATGGAATTATATTTCCGCTTCCGGTCGTCCATTTCTTCCCCTTTGCGCCGCTGCTCGATTTCCAACGCTTTCGCCAACTCTTTCTTTTTCTTGGCGGATTCGTCCTCCTCGGAATCAGACGAATCAGACGAAGAACTTGAAGAATCTGATGAAGAAGAATCGGAATCGTGCTTCTTTTTATTTTTACTGCTACCCGGTTTTTTCTTAGACGCCCGGGTTTTCTTCTTCTCTCTCCGTTTCGCATTCTTCTTTTGGTTTTTGTTGGTTTTTGAGGAGGAGGAGGTTTGTTTATTGTTTTTGGAGTCGGAATCGTCAGAGTCGGATGAAGAGGCTGATTCGTCGTCGTTTTTACTCTTGCTCTGTTCTTGTTCAAGTTCTTGTAACGCTTTTAGCTTTAATTGTTGGTGGATTTCGACAAGCGTTTTGGGTTCGGCGTTGCTGGAAGAGAGGGATTTTGGGAATTCGGAGACGTCAGGTGGGGCTGTTTCGTCGTTCGCTTCGCGACCGGCTTCTCCAGTGCAGTATGAATTCTGTAATGATAAAAGAGTACAGTAGTTAAAGTAAGGGGATATTCGTGGGAAATATAGTAGATTACAAAGATAGGACTCGATGAGTAATCACCAAAATTGTCAAAATCAACACATTTTTTTATCATTTCTCGCCTCTGGAAATTTATTCTCAAATTCTGTACGAAGAATTTGTAATCAGTGACTCAGTGAGTTGATTGATAGAATAGCAGTAAGTTTTTCAAGCCAGTTTGAGTTCAAATTTTTCTGAAGGCTTCTTAAACTTAAAATCTCCTTCAAAAAGTGTCAAAATCATAAGTTTTTTTAAATTGGCAACGACTTGTTCTACGTCGTCGAGAGTTTTAAAATAAATTTCGAGAGCTGAGAAATGATTAAAAAGATTTAAAATGTATTGATTTTGACAATTTTGGCGATGAGTTTTCCAGTCATACATTAATTGTGAATTATAAATATCAAAATATCTTATGATGATGATAAGCATACCTGGATAAGAGCATGACAACACTGATACCCCCACGCGCCCGCTCTCCAGTACGACCCGAAAATGGACGAGTGATTATTTGGGTAAATGTCTTCCTCATATTTAGATCGGATTACGGCACGTTCTCCTCCCTGTTAAATATCAAACGGGTTTTAATTTTATAGTTTCAAAAAATAATTAAAATCTGAAATCTGTTCAAAACTGAATTTCAAAATAGATCGAAAACTTTAAAACCAAGAAATAAACTTGAATTTAAAAGAACAAGTTGAAATAGAAACCTCTTAATTATTACAAACTTGTAAAACATTGAAGAAATTTAAAACGTTTTCAAAATTCTAATAAAAATTTCTTGAAAAATATTGCTGCAGAATTTTATAGAGATATATTTCCTGTTCTCCAACCTTAATGATCTTTCCTTGTCTCGAGTACTCGATGTAATCTTCCGTTTGCGCCATGAGGAGTGATTTTGGCGGCGCGTTGAGATGCTCTTCACCGCCATATTTGTCGATAATGTTTCTCGTGAGCGAGCCCTTGAACTCGTCCTTCTTTTTCTCAAACTCTTTCTTAAGGATTTCTAACTTCGTGGGTTCTGCGAGCAGGTGAACGTCCACGCCGCGTTCTTGCGCCTCCCACGCGAAGAGCTGCGCCTTTGCGTGCTTATTCGTGTCGCCAGTAAAACGGATAAAGTTCTCACCGACGAAATCCATGCTGGAAAACGAAAAATGGTGGAAATTGATTAGTAAATATTTTTCAATTTTGGAAATTCGCCATAAGAAATAGTGAAAATTTCACAAAATTACTTTAAATTATAGTAATTTTTACAAAAATTAATATTTAATGAGGTCAGGTTTTTTTAAAAACAGGTTTCCAGAAATTTTAAAAGTTTCAGATCAGCAAAAGTAAAGATTCAATTTAGGAACTTCGCTAAAAAACTTGTAGAATAGTGACAAGTTAGTGAAAATGAATCTGACATTAATATTGTGATCTGAAGTTTTTAAAAATTCAGGAAATTTGTTTCTAAAAATTTCTAAATTAATAAAATATTTATTTTCATAAAATATTCTCATGATTTTAAGAAATTTTGACCTACTCTTCGTCTCCCAGGTTAGTCTTTTTGTACGGATTGTCCCTCATAGATCTGGTCTTGGGATCATAATAAGCCGAATTTGGATCCAGATTTCTCAAATATTTGGCCGTGTCTTCACGAATTCTGAGATTTCTGACAGTAATTCGCTCCTTGGAGTCCATCTTGGTTCCGGGCATGTCAATATCGTCGACGTATTTGTCCTCGTCTTCTTCCGGTCCGTCTTCGTCCATCACCATGTTGTCCGGCAATTCGCCCTCAATTCCACTCTTGAGCTTTTCCGCTTTTAGTAAACGTTTCGCTTCTTCGACCTGGACAGAACAAAAGAAAAAAAAGTATGAAAAAATTGGTCAAATTCAAAATATAATTAATTTTTGGTTTCAAATTGCACAGACTTTCGCAATTTTTTTTACATGTTTCCACCAAACTTTTGAAACTCGTCGACAAGAACTAAATATTCAAAACCTAATTAATGTTCGCTTCAAATTGCAGATTTTTTCACAAATTTTGACAAATGTTGGTTTTTAAAGAAACTCAGTAACTAAATGTTCAAAACCTAATGAATTTCAAATTGCATACATTTTGCACACATTTTTACACAAATTTTCACCCCTCACCTTTTGAAACTCGTCGACAATGACTAAATGTTCGGTGGGGTCGTACCCATTCCAACGATCCCTCTTCCCATCAAAGTCTAGCGCCAGGTTGGGTTGGGAATGCTCATCGGGGGCGATTTCCACCCCAGAATATTTCGCCAAAACTTTCCTCGGCCGTTCTAAACAATCCTTTTTCTTGTGCGTCATTGCGCCGCAGTTCTCGCATGCGCCTTTTCGAAACTTGGTGGCGATCTTGGTCTATAAAATGATTTTAAAAATTGTAAAGTTAGACTTTATTCGCGAAAATTCGAAAAAAAATCGCAAACATTTTATTGCGAATCAAGACACTTGTATTTTTACGCATGAATTGAATCTTATCGTTTTTTCGTACCGTATCAACACCACGTTTATACCACTCGTCCAAACTAGAATATTGCTTTTGGCCTTCTTCCTGGACGCGCTGATGGCGTAGAGTTGGTCCTGCTGCGCCATAATACCACGGCGCGGCGGAAATATACTGCGGAATGTGGGGATTAATATCTTTCCCTGTCTCGTCAACGGCAGCGGGGGCGGTTCCGGCCTAGAAATTTATGGTGTGAAAAAATAATTAGTTTCAAAATATTACATCTCAAAATGCTTCAAAATTTAAAATCCGTACAATTTATACAGTAAGTTCAAATAGAAATTTGTGGAAAAAGTAATTTAAATTGAAATGTGTGTGTATAAAGCCAATTTCAATAGATGTTTGCGTAAAAAAAAGTTAATTTCACTAGAAACTTGTGTTAAAAAATAATTTCAAAATAAAGTGAATATTTCCTCTCAAAATGTTTCAAAATTTGAAATCTATTCCATACTTTTCTGGCTTCTTCCAGTTCCTTTTCCTTCTTCCAATCCTCCCTCGACCGCCCGACGGCGGAACCTCCCACTTCCGCCGGATCCGGAACGGCATCCTTCATCCGAATTAGTTCCGATAAGGCGGGTGTCACTTGGTGGGACGACATGGTAAAGGAGTCGTCGTATGTTGATTAGTTAACGTAACCAAACAATTAGGTAATTAGTAATTACCAGACAAAAAAACTTAATTACGAAATTTATCGAAAAAATAACTAAAAGATAATTAATTTTTTAATTTGTGAAAAATTGAACAGTTTTGTTTTGAGAGTTCGATTTAGGTTCTGGGGTGAGATTTGAACTTCCCGCGGGTAAAGTCTCACTGTAAACTGACTTGGTGTTAAACTAATCTATACTTATTTTCATCACTGAAAATCTGCAAATTAATTAAAACGGCGTTGAGATGCTGAAAAATTTCAAATTTTGTGAAAAATATTGCGTATAAAATTTTGAAAATATATTTTTTTATTCAACTATTTGCATTTTTTCTTAAATGATTTTTTCTTAAATGATACCTGAATGTCAACTGTGCATACATTAATGAAATGGAAGTATTTTTTTGCATGAAATGCTTTATGTAATTTTTTAATAATGGTTTTCTTTTATGCGCATTATGTGATAAAATTGACTTAAATTTTACAATTATTTACATAATTGCACAAGAATAAAAGTAAAATTGGAAACAATCGAGTATTAAAAACAGAAGCTGGGGAACATTCATTTATCATGTAGTTTGGTTATATCGTTAAAGTAGTGTAAACTGAAATTAATGGTTAATTTTTTTTTAGGAAACTTTACTCTCCAAAATATAAATTAAATTAAACTATTAGTAATTAAAATTAAAATTCAAATAGTTTAATTGGTCCTCTTGCCATCTTTGTTTTTTATTTACAAAGTCGTAAAGCGTATGAAAAATGCCGCACATTGGCAATAAATAACTTGCAATTTTTATTGTTTTGTTTTTCATAGGTTGTTAATGTACTCTTTATTTTGCGCATAATATTTTGCACATGCAAATCATACCGTCCTTTTCGCAAAAAAGAACAAAGCTTGAAGAAACTTAACGTTTTAAGTTTCTCGAAAGTTCTCTGAATCATCATTATTTAAAAATTACACAAATTTTTAATTTGAAAAAAACTAAAAGCACGAGTCTTTATTTTTTATAAATTTCTCCCTAAGAAATAATCAAAATTTGGAAAATGTTAATTTTTTTGCACAATTTTCTAAATTTATTATTCACCATAATTTTCGCCTTATTCTTTTCTTCTACCGAGGCTACGTTACACGCGTCGAGTCGAAGCCACGCCAAGGTGAAGAATGATAAGAACAATGATAACCCCATCCAGCAGTCGTCGTCGCTTAACAATATCGATAAGCTGTAAGTGCTTATTAATTGAATTTTAATATTTTTAACTAATTTGTATAATTGCATACTAATTTACATACATATTTACATAATTATTAGAAGCAAGAAGGGCTTGGGCGTGGAGGATGGTGACACGTACATGACAAGCACATCGATAAGTGTGGCTTATCATCACGGCTGGTATTCCGTGGCTGGGGGAAAGAATCAAACGTATCATTCCTCCGGGGGAGCTGAGCAGGTGCGAGATATCCGAAAAATACATATGTATTATGTACATAATACCCGGGTATAATTAAGACTTTGGGTTTTTGCTATCCGTTAAAAATCTGCATGGTTTCAACATCGGATAAAATGATAAACTAACACCGAAATTTCAGAAATACCCGGTAAATATAATATCACTAATATTTAATAAACCGGTAAAAATTTATCCGATTCTGAAATACCCGACAAAATTCTATTTAAAGTTTCGTTATATTTTTTATAATTCAACTATTAAAATTGCAAAAATAATAAAAATTTCGTCAAAAATAAAACAATTTTTTAGAGAACCGAAAATGGAAACATTCCTCCCATCAAATTGTTTCATGTTTTATGTGACTGAAAATTTTGGGGAACCGAAAATAAGAATATGCCCAATAAAATTGTTTCATTTTTTGGGGAATGTTCCCATTTCCGGTTTAATTTTTTTCAGACCGGAAGTAACAACGCGACAACGGAGGAGAAGATGCGTCGCATAATTGAGATGACGGTGCTAATTTGTGGCATCACGGTTGTCGTAGTCGTTTTCTTCCTCTCCGTCCGAATTTCGGCCCATCTCTTCAAAAAGTTCAAGATATACAGCAACCAGAGATTATCAGCCCCGAACGGAAATGGGAACGGGAATGAAATGAGTGTCCATTACTCGAATGGGAGGAGTGCAAATGGCGGAGGTAAAGAAGAGACGAAAATCTTTGCAAAAATTATGTAAATTATTACCTAGTGAAAATTGAGATTGCAAAAATTATTTCGGAATTTATGCAAACTTGTAAAGTAAAATTGGAACGTTTTTTTTCGGATATTCGTATTTAATTATCTAATTAGAGTTTAATTATTTTGTAGCTGAAATCGATACTATTTTGTGTACGTATTTTTTGCAAAATTTGATATGCCATATAACGAGTTAAAAATTCGAAACAATTTTTTGGCTTATCGATGCTGAATATTCTTTTTTGCAGGAATTTTGCACACAGTTTACTTTGTAGTAGAAATCGATATTATTTTTTGCAAATATTTTTCTTACGCATTTTTATTTTTTGCAAAATTTGATATGCTGGATAAGTAGTTAAAAAGTAGAAACAAATTTGCTTGCGTGTGCATCTTGAATGTTTTGTTTTTTTGCAACAATTTTGCACAGTCTACTTAATATAGTGGAAATCGATACTAATTAAAAAAAATTCTTGTAAAATTTGCTACGGATTACAAAATCGAAATATTTTTTTTGCATGTACATTTTTTGCAACAATTTCGCACACACAGGTTCCTCTTCTGGCGTGGAGTCTTCGACCATCCGCTCCCCCACGGCGCCTGCTGCTTCTCTTTACGCCGTCATGCCCGGGCACTTCCTTCACCAGCCTTGCTACCCGGGTAGCAGTAGGGACCCACCGACCGGAAGTGGTTCAACCAGCGGCGGCGGCGGCACTGATGTCAGACCGACCTCCACAACGACGACGACGATAAGCACGTCGCGACATGTGGATGGAACTTATCGCCCCGGAATTAGAGGTCAGATTGCAAATTTTTAAGAAATATGTATGAAATTTCACTATTTGGTGACGTAACTTGCGCCATAGTTAAATTATAACATTGGCGCAAGTTGGGATAGAAGTATAAAAATGCACTTCATTTCGTAGCACACAAAAACCGCAAATCTGAAATTATGTAAACTATAAATTAAACAAATTATAAACAACTTGCATAATGACGCAAAAGTTTTCCACTGTTTGCACTATATTTAGAATAATAATATGTATTGCAAAAGTACATACAAAATTTGCTCTGTGATTATGAAGTACAAGGTTATCTTACGTTTTTCATATCTTCTTCAAAAATGCAAAAAATACAGAAATACGCAAAAAATTACGAAATGGATAAAAATATTGTTAAGATTCATAATCATTTTTATTATCAAAGACGACTTAATCAAACAAAGTACGAAATAATTTGCGAAATAATTTGCGAATCTCTCCCAATTTTTTTAGGCATGAGCAGTATCACGACGCAAATTGAGGACGATGCCCAAATTCATCATCACATCGCCCAATCCTACGCAAGCACGTCACACCCAACGGCACCACCACGTGCAGAAACACCACCCCCACCCTACCCAGGACCTACCAAGGACGAGGTCAAAGGTCAAAGTGACCAGAAAATTAACAATCAACTTAAAAACAGAGGGAAGAATGTAGAATAAATAATTGTAATTTAGTTTTTTGCAACAATTTAAAGCATTAATTTGTTGTCTAATCCTTATTTGATTTTGATTGACTTTTTTATTTTTTTTTCTAATTTTTGATTTGATTTTTTTGGTACAACTCGCTAGAAAATCTCGGCGTAGCTTGAAAAAATGTTCAATTGGTTGTGTTATTCCAAAATCTATAACGTTTACAAAAATTATTGTACTAAATTTACATAATTATCGTAAAGGCAGATCTAAAAACATCTCAATGTGCACATAATAATTAAATGATACTTTCTCGCTTTTTCGGCGTTGGAGTGAGACATTTTGAATTTTATTGCCCGATATTTTGATAATTTTAAAGAATTTCGATAATTTTAAAAATTTAAGAATTTTCGAAAATAGCGTGATAATATCTAAAGGTAATTGGAACCCTAAACCTAATAGTTAGATTTATTAATTGAAATTTGTTTCTTTAGTTTTTCGGCGTTAACGTAAGACATTTTCAATTTGGTTGCCTAATATTCTGATGATTTTAAAGCATTCTGATAATTTTTAAGAATTCACGAAAATAATGCGTCTCGGAAAATCTGCACTTTGTAAATTCATAAGATTTGAGTAAAATTTTTACCGATCGGAACCAAACCGCAAATCAATTTTATTTTGAGTGTTTCAATTTCCACGACAAAGTAATAAAGGATTTGGTACACGGAGAATGTATATGGCGAGCAGGGTGTAAATCAAGATAATTGAATAATTAATTACTAATAAAATATTTAATGGAAAATTAATTATGCAAATAATGAGCATTGCAAAGATTTGATCTAGCTGGTTAGGAAACAAAAATTAATAAGAAATTGGTTTGAAATTAAGAGACACAATTAAGGCGGATGTTTGTAAATCTTTAGAAAATACTATCAACTATGCAGAAAAAATTAAAACTAATTAAAAAAATTGTAATAGTCGCAAAAGTAGAAAAGTTGATTGACTGCTGACAATGGCAAAAGTTTGGAAAAACAATATTTGCAAGATTTATCCAGTTGACAAATATCACCCCGAATTCTAATTTGGCGACCCCCCATCTACCTATTAATCCATTCGACAATAATCTCGCAAAAAATTCAGACTGGCGTTTTAACGTGACAAATTTTTACATATTTCTTCAGTTTGTCAATTCAGATTCACGCGGATGTCGTAGTTTACAAACTTCTGAAAAATATAATGAGATATATAAAACTTGTAGTAAATTTTGAACCTGACTTTCATGCCTAATTTTTATAAACCTTCTTTTCCAAGCAGGTTTGTTAGTACAAGTTTTTTTATGAAAAGTTTGCTAATTTACGAAGATAATGATTTTAGCGTGAACCTGCATAATAAATGCTCGACTAGACAAAAGTGAAAAAATTGGTTGATCACTGACATCAGTAAAAGTTTGGAACCTAATTTTGCAAAATTTACACAGTTTACAAATATCAACGTGAATTCGTCCGTAATAAGTTGTTATTTCGTGGTGCCCTTCCTACCTTTTAATCTAAACTACAATAATCCATTACGCAAAAATTTCAGACTGGGCTTTTAACGTGACACTTTTTTTCAGTTTTCATTGAATCATTTATTTTGCAAACTTTCGAAAAATAATGAGATCTATACAAGTTTGTTGTAAATTTTGAACCTGATCTTCCCCCGTAATTTGGTCGATAATAGTTTTTAAAAATAAAGTTTGCTAATTTACGAAGATCGGGATAATTTTTGGTTTGACATGGACTTGCTTAAATGTCGATGAGCCAATTCGACTAGAAAAATTGGTTGATCGCTACATTAGTAATGGTTTTCAAACTAATTTTGCAAAATTTATACAGTTTACGTGAATAATCAACTTGAATTCACCCGTAATAAATTAATGGATAGCGATGCCGAATCTGATTATGAATCTAAGCGACGATAATCACGCAAGAACTTCGAACTGGCGTTTGAACGTGACAAATTTTAAATATTTCTTTCAATTTTCATTAAAGAATTAAATAATTACGAATCAATTCGCACGGATGTTTTTTTTATATTTTGCATACTTTTGTAAAATATCGAAACTATGAGCCAATTCACGCAGTCCTTAGTAACTTTGTAGAATCGATGATTCTTGTAAAATAATTTTGCAAATTTTACAAAATAAAAAGACACCCTTGATCTGAGCAAGTTTACAAAAATTTGGGAGCCGATTTTCCTTCGAAATATGAGTAAAATTGGTTGATCGCTGACATTAACAAAAGTTTGGAAACTAATTTTGCTAAATTTACACAGTTTACAAATATCAACGTCATAGTCTCGTTATTTTGCAAAATTTTGCAAAATACGAAACCATCCGCAACAGTCGTAGATAATTATGAAATGATTAAATGAAAACGTCATGAACAAAATATTTAAAATTTGTCACATTATAGTAAAACGCTAGTGAGAATTTGTTGCACTATATTGTTTTAAAGGTTCATAACTAAATAGATCTTCAATAACTCCATGTTGATAAAAAAACACAATTTATTACAGATAAGTATGGTAAGGCGAATGATTTTTATTATAATTATAGGTTTACAAATATTCACGCGAATCCTGTTCCAAAAAAGGAAACTGAATCGTTATTCACGTGGATATTTGCAAACTGTACCAGCATTATAAGACCACCTGAAAATGAGTTTTCCTAAATAATATTCTTTCGTAGAGATTTAATTGGTTAAGGGGCAATTCACTTCACGCTGTCCCTGGTAATTTTTTAAAATTCTTAAATTTTGTAAACTTTACGAATATTTGTAATAATTTGTATAAGGAAAATTAGCGAGATTAGAAAATTACTAGTTTTGCAAACTTACTCAGATCAATAACGTCTCTTTATTTGGTAACATTTCATACGTATGTCAATTTGAACTGAAATTTAACCCCGAATTCAATACTGACCTCTATTTTGACCTCAAAGGTTACAAAAGCTCACTAAAAGGGCATAGAATGGTCATCCACAGTTAAATTTGATATATTTGTTGAAAACACATTAGACATGACAATTCTAACAGATTTTGAAATATATACTGTTCAGTTCGACCTTGGTTACATTGGTTGTAACGGTTTAAAAAATTTTGCAAAAAAAATTTTGCAAAAGTTTGTCAAATAAACAAAACCACAGATTTTACAAAGTCACCAAGTACCGCGTGAATTTCCTCATCATCTCGTTATTTTGCACAAGTTTGTAAAATATAGCATCATTCACGTGAATTGTCTTGTCTTATAATGATTTAGCAAAAACCGAAAAAAGAAATACTTATTTAAAAATGTCCTGTTAAAACGCCAGTCTGAATTTTTTGCGTAATTTTTGTCGAATAGCTGAATAGGCAGATGGAGGGTCGCCAAATTCAAAATTAGAATTTTGATGTTTGTCAACTATAAATTTTGCAAAACTTGTTATTCCAAACGTTTTCAAAATAATGAGATCTATCAAAATTTGGAGTAAATTTTCAGCCTGATTTGTGTCCGTTATTTTTGTAAACTCTAATTTTTTAAAGTTTGTTTAGTACAAAATTTTAAAAAATAGTTTGTTAATTTACAAAGATCGGTCGGAGGAGATGATTTTTGGCTGGACTTATAGAAACGTAATAGTCGAAAAGTCAAAAAATTAATAGAAACAATTTTGGAAACAAATTTTGAAAAATTTACATCGTTTACAAATATCAACTGGAATTCGTAAATTCATGGTTAGCAGCACATTATCTGCCTATTAATCCAATAGACAATAATCACGCAAAAAGTCAGAATGGCGTTTTAACATGACAAATTTTAAATTTTTTGTTTTATCATTTGTCATTAAATCATTACATTACAAGTCTTATCAAGCGAATGGTGTAATATTTCACAAACTTTTGAAAAATAACGAGATGCCTGTGATCGGAGTAATTTTACAAAAATTTGGGAGCTATTTAATTTTCCTTCGAAATATGAGTAAAATTTTGTAACTTTACAGAATTTAAGGATATTGCAATGCTACCAAAAGGCCTGCAATGCATTGTCTGAATGAAAGTTTGTAGTAAATTTTGAACCTGATTTTCCTCCGTAATTTTTGCAAACTTGATTGATAAAAATTTTTTTTCGTAAAGTTTGCTAATTCAGGAATATAGACGGGACCTGATTTTTGGGTGGACTTACGTAAACGTAGTCAAAATTTTTGACTACCTTTTGACTCAAAAAACCAGTGGAATCCCAAGTAAAGTTGGAGGACGATGACGAGAAACATGGCGATGATCCAAGGCAAAATCCACCTCCGGATTTCCACCCGCACCTCGTGAATCATCAACCAGGACGCTCCGATGAAGTAGAGAAAGAACAAGATGACAAATCCGCCGCTGATTTGAGTCGCTGAAATTTGGTAGTAAATCATTACCGGCCGGAGTACATATTTATGTATGACTCTACACCGTTAGACGTCTGGTATAGTCAGGCAGGTCTGGATTTCTCGACTTCATATCAAATTTTTAAAATGATTTCCCAAAAATTTAACGTTTCCCGTTTTTTGCAATATGTAATTGTTTACTTTTTTCCCATTAACTTTAACGCCACTTTGATTATTTAAATAGTTTTAACTTATAATTTTGTTGTACAGGTTTCGCCAGGGTTTAATTAATTTTAAAATTTGTGGATGCTTTAACTTTAAACTTTAGTAATATTTTTTGTCTAATTTTTGGAAATGTCAAAAATTATTTACTTTTTTTCCAGCAACTTTAACACCACTTTTGGTAATAACAGTTTAGTATTAAGAAATAATTTAACTGAGGTGGTGAAATAACTTTACTGTCGTACTGAGGTGCTTTTAAATCTCTCTTCAAATTTAAGAATTTTAGTACTATTTTTACCGATAGAGACCAAATCGTTACCAATTTTATTTTGAGCATTTCAATTTAACACGGAAAAGAAATAATGAAAAGGGTTATATTTTGGGTAATAATGTTACATATTCCAAAATGTACAAACTTGATAAAAATTATTTTAAAAAATTGTATTGTCGTAAATTTGATTAAGTCAGATCTAACGATACAAATTGCCATCCACCGTCAACCTGACGTGTGCTCATACTTATTGATTAAAAGTCACTTTCTTACGTTTTAGGCGTTAGAGTATGACATTTTAAATAATTTGCTGCTGTATATTTTGAGCATTTTTAGGAACTTTTACTGTGCTTTTTACGGGTTACATGAGTGATGCTAAATGCTCATGCTGTTGACTAAATAAATACTTTTATATATTAACCTAAATATGTTTTGTTATGTAATATTATCGTATGTTAACAAAAAAATCTGGTATTTGAAACAAATTATGGTTGATGATTACGACGGGAGATTTTCATAGGCGGGAGAGGATGAACGGGAGTCGGTGGGCGGGAGATTTCCACGGGCGGGGGCAAATGGGCGGGATATGGTGGGCGGGTTGCTTCCGTATACCAGTAATTTATCGCTGCAAGGTGGTAAATTTGCAGATTGACAAAAAATTGACAAGGTTTATAAATATTATTTTACTAAATTTTGTAATATAGATACATAATCAAAAAAGGAGACTTTTCAGGTGTTTATGTTAGAAAGTAATCTTTTACTTTCCGGTGCTAGAAGCTGAAAACAAAATAATTTTAAAATTGTCAAGTTAGAACGCCAGTTTTAATTATTTACGTGATTTTGTAGTTGGCATTAATATGCAGATGTGCTTCGGGGATCTTTCAATTTATTACGAGCGAATTCACTTTGATATTCGTAAAATTTTTAAATTTTGCAATTTAAAATTAGTTTCGAAACTTTTTTTTACTAATTTTAGCGATCAACCAGTTTTTCGGCTTTTTCGACTATTACATTTCTGCAAGTCCAGTCAAAAATCAACTCCCCACTAATATTTTTCCTCCCTTAGTTAGCTCATATT